AGTAAAGTCACCAGGCTATCCGTATCAAAAAACCGAAATCAGGACAAACTCAGTGACCTGCACCACCGCGACTGGTTACGCAACTTTTCATCGTACCTGTGGCTTACCATGCCGTCAGAAATGACATACTGCACGAATTACGCTTTCACAGGAACCATCCCGAGTTGCACACTTTGGTTTATGTACTCTTGGTTGTACCTGGGTGGTCAAATTTGGGACAATCATCTCCTGTCCAATGAGCAGATGCAGTGGCAAGTAGCACTCATCTTTATTCCCCCTCCCCCCCCCCCCCCCTCTGTACTTACAGATGGGCAGCCCTTTGACATGGCTTAAAAATGTACATGTAGTTACACAAATAGCGCCTAGTACGAATACCCTGCGGAATCCTCCACCCACCCATAAACACACACACACACACATGCACACACAAACACACCCACACACACGCACGCACGCACGCACGCACACACACACATGCACGCACGCACACACACACACACACACGCACGCAGGCACACACACACACACGTACACACACACACACACACACATGCATGCATGCTGAATGCCTTGAGTGGATCGTTACACGTTATGTAATCATCTCGTGTGATTTGCTGACTACGTACAACAAGTTCTCTTAGACAGTGAACTTGACCAGAATGCATGCCTGCCATTCTCATTCCCTGTGCCGGCTTGTCTCAACGTATACAGGTGATGTCCGATGCTACAAAGGTGCCGTTCACTTTTGAATGTGAATTCGCCAGCCTGGCAAAAATTGTTGACCAGTCACTGATCAGCCGACTTGCAAGTATAGTCTACAACGACTACTTGATGGCGATAAGTGCAATGTAAGTGATACGTTAGTCTACAATGACTATTTGATGGCGATAAGTGCAATGTAAGTGATAAGTAGTCACTGTCAACAGTGACAAGTATTTTCAGTCTGCTGCTGCTGGCTGTTGCTGTTGATACTGCTGTTGCAGTTGTGTGTTTGGTGACATTCAACGGGTAGTGGTTCCCAGTAACTGAGCTTACTGCTACTTTTGTCTCTCTTGCTCTGTCTCTTTTGTCTCTCTTGCTCTGTCTGTTATTATTGACAAGCTGGTCATTGAACTTGAGTACACAAGGGTGGTCATTCCTGGTTGTGGCTTGGACTCAGTCCGACCTGCCCCTGGAATAGTCCGACCTTCCCCTGGACTTAGTCCGACCTTCCCCTGGATTTATTCCGAACTGACCCTGGACTTAGTCCGAACTGACCCTGGACTTAGTCTGACCTGCCCCTGGACTTAGTCTGACCTGCCCCTGGACTTAGTCTGACCTGCCCCTGGACTTAGTCTGACCTGCCCCTGGACTTAGTCTGACCTGCCCCTGGACTTAGTCTGACCTGCCCCTGGACTTAGTCCGACCTGCCCCTGGACTTAGTCCGACCTGCCCCTGGACTTAGTTTGACCTGCCCCTGGCCCGGACTTAGTCTGACCTGACCCTGGACTTAGTCCGACCTGCCCCTGGACTTAGTCTGACCTGCCCCTGGCCCGGACTTAGTCTGACCTGCTGACCCTGAACCGGTGCTAGGCTAAGGTTTCCAAGTGCCATATTCTCCACTGTGTTAGGCCCACTGGGGTCTAAGCCGCACCCCTCCCCCCCCCCCTCTTTTTAACATTCCACTGCAACCAATATCAGACCAAATCAATATATTAGGTACCAGTGCATGCCTGATGTTACCGGTGGTTCAAAAGTTGATAAGCACGACTGATGCTCTGGCAAAGGCATCCTAGTATGCCCTTCACACAGAACTGACAACACGTGGAAGTGTCCCACTTGTGCTATGATGGGTAGCAGTGCATGAAAAGCTGTTGCATGATAACTTACAACCAGTATGCAGTGAGCACTGCATTGCAGTGGTCGATTCACACTCAGCATTTGCAGTCTAAGCTGCAGGGACATTTTTTGAGGGTTTTTTCAGCATTTTAAGGTGCGGCCAACACTCCAGAAAATACAATACAGCTTGGTGAACATCGACTACAGGTCTACCCTTGTTTGTAGATAACCAAAGGGGGGGGGGGGGGAGGGCATATTTTTTTGTCTTATAACGAGTATCATCTACTATCCGGATGTGAATGTACATGTACATGTTTCAGGCGTCAGGAGATTTTGATCGTTGTCTACTAATGATGTTTTGTCTTGTGATGACCGATGTCATACTAACAAGGGTAGACCTGTACTAGCAAGAGTACATGAAAACAAGAGTGTGCAGCTCGGATGGGTTGCTGTCACGGCGGAATTCCGTGATTACATCATTTTAGTGATGTAGTGCGTACAAGCAGGATTCAAGCAGGTCTGCACAACTGCAGCTCAGTTGTACGCACTACGCCATTTCCCGCCTCAAATCTGCGCCAAATATGATGTAATCACGGAATTCCGCCGTGACAGACACCCATAGTAGAAAATGCCCCAAGCTGCACACTCTGGTTTTCATGTACTCTTGGTACTAGTATGTGTGGAGACTAGACATAGGGAATGTGTAACATGTAGTTCTATAGCTGTGTGCCATGCAAACTTTACTGGTGTACCTTTCTGACAGTATGGCTGTATACTGCTTTCTGCTCCGTTCCTGCTCTCTCTTGCCTATGGCATACTGTAGAATTGTGGACTACTGCGAAGACAGGAGTTGTCGTGACGATCTTGTGCGGAATGTACACAGTCGCCGTATTGTGCTGATTGTGGATGATGAGGAGCAGCTTGTCAAGAACTGGGCTTACCTTGTACCTTTAGCTTCACACAAAGGTTAGCTTCCTGGCATTGCTTGGTGCTCTCTTTCTAATACTGAGCCGGTGTTATGTGTATGCAAAGTCGGAATGTGACTTTGCATTTGTCATTCTAAAGTATAGGAAAGAAAAGGACCAAGGAACTACAAGTTATGCTATAACCGTCCACTAACACCACCAGTTACTTGACGATCAGCTTATTGCAATAACATTGCACAACTATGACCAACGGTATCCGCGTTCTACAACTAACTGCCAGTCAGCTCTAACACGTCTTGGATGCGATTCCCACATAATTTTTTTTGATAGTTCGAACCTCGAACCGGACATGTCCGGTTAATTAGAAGTCCCACGGATTCCACTTACATAGAAAATGTGTGGGATTTGTGCTGATAATTCGAAGTTAGCAAAGTGTAATTCGAAGTTCACTGTACACTGTACTGATCAGTTCAGTTTGCATGAGCAGGCTGTGCTGGTCAGTTCAGTATCCATGAAATCTGTGTCTAAGGTCCATAGTGCAACTCTGCATGACCATGAGAGCATTTTGACATACATATTGTGTTGTGGGTTCATGTTTGGATAATTAGAATGTCCGGATATTTAGAAGTTTTTTCCTGGCATTTTGAGGTTCGAATTATCAGGATTCCACCTGTAATAGTAATAACATGGGAGAGGCATGAGCTGATTGTCAAGTAACTGGTGGTGTTAGTGGACATAATGACATATCTTGTTACTGTACGAACAGCCTCTTTTACGGGCAATGTCATATCTTGTAATTCCTTGGTCCTTTTCTTTCCCCTATATTAATCCCTGGCTCTCCATCCGGGTCAATAATTCAAGTGTATATTGAAGCCAATAAAATATTCTGGGGCAGAGGGGATACCCACTTGTATTCCATGTCTGTTTGCAACACAATTTCTCTGCAGTCTTATCGCTCTCCCTTATAGGATGTACAGCATCAGACCCGTAGCTTAACCGCACACAGCCGTTTTCCACAAAAAAGATCCGGATAGGCGAGGGAACCGGATAATCGAACACACATACTGTATGTATGCATGACATATGCTGTAAATCGGTAACCAACGATTTTCTTCCGGATGGCGACGGATCTGGATAAAAGAGGACCGGATAAGCGAGGTCTGACTGTATAGTGTAGATACTGCTGGTAGCCATTTGCCTCTCTTATAGCATAATACTGTACTGCTGGTAGCCATTTCCCTCTCTTATAGCATATATAATTTACATACTGTACTGCTGGTAGCCCTTTCCAAAGTCTCATACTTCACTACAGTTGACTTCACTACAGTTGACATTGTAGAGATAAGCCACACTGGTACTGCGGCGATGTTTTCTTGTGACTGATGTGATGTATTGTGTGTGTGTGTGTGTGTGTGTGTGTGTGTGTGTGTGCGTGTGCGTGTGCGTGTGCGTACGTGTGTGTACACGTGTGTGTGGGGACGTGTGTGTACACGTGTGTGTGGGGACGTGTGTGTACGAATGTGTGTGTGTGTGCGTATGTGTGTGTGTGCGTATGTATGAGTGTGTGTTTGTGTATGTATGCGTTCATGTGAACGTTTGTCCATGCATGCATATTGATTTTCATGTGTAGATAGCGTATCACTTGAACAATGCAATGGAGGCCGAGGAGACCAGTCACCGGAGACTGAGAGTAGTGATGAAGGTGGACAAGTTGTCTGCAGAGATGGTGTACTCTACCTATTGGTACCACTGCAAATATTTAGCAAGGAGCAGTTCAACCCATCACTTGATGTGTTTGAGGCACGTCGACCCAAGGATGAATGTTCTCGATTGAACAACTATGTGTCAAGCTATGCGACGTAAGTGTCTTGTCGCGATTGCTGAAAAGGATGTCCACCCACTGTATGAAGTAGCCATGAAGGGTGACTGCTCGCAAAGTGTTGCAAGCAACCAACCTACTTATGATTATCGCCCCTAAGCCGCTACCACTGACTCCTACACCTGCTGTATGTTGGGTTATAGGGGTTATAGGGGTTATAGGGGTTATAGGGGTTATAGGGGTTATAGGGGTTATAGGGGTATGTTGGGTTATAGGGGAACTTATCATGGTACTTTTGGAGTAGTACATACACAGAGAAGACGACCACACATTCACATGGCTGACTTCAAGTTCTTTAACTTACTCGGTAAAGTATTATGCCCACCGCTCTTCAGATTTGGCTAGGTTCGAGTCACTTGAAACAAAGTGGCATGTACATTCTCACGGGGTGCATAGACTCCCGAATTCTTGACGTTGGTACGTCCAACTCTTTCATTTTATTGTTGGAAATTGGTGAGTTGGCATGTGCACATAAAGTGAGATGGCGATGTGATAGTGCAAGTATACTGGCTGTGATCATGCCGCTCTGCTCTGCTGACTGCAACGTATCTAGTCACGCGTATTCACTGAACAACGGCAATTCACAAAGCATTTCATGTACTGAACTTCAGTTGCACCGCACCGTATTGACCTATTGTGGGCGGCGCAGAATAGTCTTCTCTGAACTTGTATTTTCTGTTTCCTGCTTGTCCTTTGTCTGATGCTACAGATCTAAGAAGCTACCTGCTGCAGTTTGCCATGACATCATGGATGCATCTGCACGCCTTGAGAAGTCCTTGGAAACGCTCTCCAGGAAACTTGAGTTTGATATCTTGCTGGAGTGCAACTTTGAGTCACTGTACGCAAGCATTACATCTACATCACCAGAGTCCACTGAGTCCAGTGTTGCTAGTGGTGAAAGTCTACCTCCAGTTGCCACTACTGTCTACTGTCATTATGTTGCTGTACTGTGCAAAAGGTAAGTTTGGATCTCGAAGTCTTATCTCTATCAATTCTCGTCATGAGTCCTGTGTCTCTACCCGACGTTGTACTGGATCCTGCGTCTACATAGTGTACTGAGCACCCGAGTCCCTCCAAAGCTAGTGTAATGAGTCTCGAGTCTCATCTCTACATGCTTGACTGGGTAGCCTGTAGGTCTGTAGGTCTGTATGTCTGTAGTTCTGTATGGAAATATGAAGAGCATGGTTGTTGTAAAACACAGTACAGTCCTGTACATGTACACGTGTATCCATTTTCTTACGCTTTGGGGAAACTAAGGAAGGACGGCCACATCTTTTTGCATTTAACTTCGGATGTCAAGGATTGCTTTGAACCCGGCTGTTTCTCCGAGTTTTGAGGTCAAGAACTGTTGTGGACATGACAGGTTTGACCCGTAGATTCCTCCATTTTACGAAGAAAATTGATTCCAAGAAAACTTTGGTCTGTATCAGATAAAATTCCTACATGCATTGTGTGTTTGTGTGCATTTGTGCGCGTGCACTGCGTTTGTGCAACTCCCTAGACTAGTCAAGTATGTTGAAGAAGTGACAGAGCGATCATCATTGCTACAGAGACAGATCTACAACCAGAAGATCAGCTTCCAGCTAGTCACCCGCTCTATTATGCAGAACCTGCTGAAATGTCCGCAGCAATTTCCCTTGGGTGGTCGTCAGCCAAGTGCTGGTTCCAATGCTATTGGTGCTGCTGAGGGACTGCTTGGCACATTCACATTCCTACATCGTGGAGTTCTGCGTGTCGTCTGCTTGCCCGAAGCCTTCGGTCAGGGTAGGTTTGACATAAAGATTTCCAATCTACCGTCAGTGCCTGACAACGTCCAGGTACGCTGTGTGGTGGGCCCCCGGATTTCTCTCAGTGCAGAATAGAAAATGGCTGAACCAGCAGCATCGTGCATCCTGTGGATTGCACATTACAACTGCTAGAGAACCACCAACACACACACACCACTGTGACACCACCACACCTTGATAATAAAACATTTAGCTGGTATATTTATACAGTTTTTGTACGGAGATTGAGTATACAGTTTTTGTCCACTGATAATAGCTGTTGCATGGAACTAGTGATTGCCGGGTTTGTTGAGTGTACACAGCAACAAGAGAGCAAGCTAATTGATCAGCTCCTATCTATATACATTATCTATAGCTTGACAGAAGATAATATCAATATTCCGCATACAGTACACCCCACATATTACTTACTTACAAGTACACTACTCTCCTTGACTGCTACCAATATTTCTGCAAATATAATCACATCACTTGTATTGCTACCAGCAATGCAAAGACTACTCATCGCATATTACTATCATTTATCAGATATGCCACGTACATCATTCTAACAATAACATGACAAGCTCGGAATTGATGGTCACGATAAGCGACCAATAATGTTGGTGGGGAGGGAGGAGGGGCAGAAAATACTCATTTTTCCAGTCAGGATTACAATGGTGATGCATGGCAAGTTGCATGAAGAAAATTATGAGGGTAGTTCGTGTACTTAAAAAAATTTCAAGGAAAATTGCAAAAAACTGTATTCTAAAACATTGCCATCCCGCAATAAATCACAGCATAAATTGTGATCAATTCTAGAGTGCCGACAAGGTGTGAAGGGACTAGGTCCTGCCCGATGACGAGTCCGGAGGTGGTAAAACATTGCTATGGTTGATGTGAGAGCGAGGATGAAGCCAACTGGTAACCTGTGTTTGGTGGCTGTAGAATACACAGTAATGGGCAGCAGCAGAAAAAGGAGGGACAACAATAGCAGGAGTGAAGAAAGAGGCGAAGAAAACACTGCATACTCCGCCACACTTGGTTTTGACTGTCCAGGTTTCACATTAAACTGTCCATATACCGAGTCTGTCCATACACAATGTCTGTCCATACACAATGTCTGGCAATACACAATGTCTGGCCATACCCTGACTGCACTGTCTGCAAATGCCAACATGATTCTGTTCGATAGCAGATCTTGCATGGAAGGGGATTCGTCTCGCATACCCTTTCTAGAAAGCAGTGCAGTGACTGGACAATGGCCAAATGTCGAAAGTACTGTCACTCAAAATCTATCCTATTCCCGCAAAGGGTTAAAACCCTTCTTTGTCCTTTATCCGATCGTTGCGAATGATGGCTCATGGGAAGGTGAGAGAGTAAGCTTTCCAGTGGTCGTATGTCGTTTGATATAGTGCGACGCGGAATCCCCGAGTATCGAAGAACGAAACGCGGACACGCTTGAAATTGTTTCGAAAATTTGTGCACAGAGCACTTCGAAGTGCATCACCGTGCTTCAAAAGGGGACTTTCCCTGCACGGTGCATGCGAAGTAGAGACCAAATGAATCGATTGAGCTTCATGTATCTGCAGGACTTTGAACCATCGTTCTACATTGAGTAAAACTTGAGAAACGATGAAATTTGTGGAGGTGGGTACAGCATCTCGCTCATGTGTAATAGGGCAGCTCTGAACAGGTTTGAAGGCAATTCTGTTCCTCCTGCTGGGTGTTTAGTTGCGATATTCAGAGAGAGAGGAGATCTGTAGCTGTCGAGAGTATGCGGATTTACCAGGGCGCAAAAGGTTAATTCGTTCCCCTTGGCCCGCCTCTGCGTAGAACTCCTGCAATAGTGATGAAAGTTGTTCAACATCTAGTCGGTCCAGTATCATAATTATTTAAACGTGATGCCATAGCGACAGTTCAATCCGGATGGCTACTCAGCCGCATGTATATCAAGCTATCACTATGGGAGAGGAACACATTACTTGGGACCTTACTTCATGTAGTAGCGTTGTCCATCCGGTGTATAGGCTTCCTCCCAGCCAAATGGAAGTGCTAGATAGTGTGGGCAAGCAGTCAACATAAAAGAGATTATGTTCTTCATACAACCAGAGTGCATTGTGCCTGGTCGCTTGGGCTCACTGAGGAGCTCGGCTTCTATCACAGTCACCCTTCAATGCATCCATGTGTGTGCAGTGCACTAGACAATCAGCCACTACACCTACTACAGTGCTAGTGTAAGACCCATGTCTTAACTACTGGCCTGCATCGGATGCCTGCAGCACAGTATTCTTGGTGGTGTATACTGTTACAACATGTATCACAGGCGCGTGCGCCGGTACCCTTCAAAGGGGGGGGGGGGGGGGGTTGCGACGCCTCCGGGAAAATTTTCAAAAAATGAAGCAAAATCCTGCATTTTGAGCGAAAAAAAAAGGGGGTTCCGGGCACCCAGGAACCCATACGGGGCACGCGCCTGTGATAGTAGCATGCAGTCACATTGATAACTAGTGAAGGATGGCCACACATGCTCTAAGACTGGATCATGGAGTTCATCCTGGGGTGTGTGTGTGGGTGGGTGGGCGGTGGAATTAGGTCTCGCAGTTCCAGTGTTTTAAAGGGTGATATAGTATGTACACCGGGACAGGCAGGGAACTCACGCTCATCCTCCAGTAGTATGCGTACAGCACTGACAGTCTTCTTGGCCTCTTCAGAAAGTGATGCATAGAGTTGCTGATTGTGCTGTGAAGAGTGTTTGGCCAGGTAAGCAGGTGGCTGCTTGGATTTGCCAGGACTGTTCCTGTTATTCACAACAGAACTTCCTTTGAACGGGATCAGGGATCTAAACCAGAGTAGAAGAGAAACACACGAGAAAACACATGTAGGATGTGTCCGATGTGTATCAGACACATGCACCAAAAGGGCCCGGTACACTGACTTGACTGTATTCCCACTCACCTCAAGTATTAGCAATAGCAATGTAAATACAGGAACTACCTTTCAAGGACAGTGAAGAAGTATATGGGACGGAAATTGGAAGAGAAGATGCCATTTCGCAGCACTGGCCCAAAACCAATGCACACACAAACAGACCACCCGTGATGCAAACCAAAACCAATGCACACACAAACAGACCACCCGTGATGCAAACCAAGACCAAAGCACAAACAAACAGACCACCCGTGATGCAAACCACATGGAATTTCGTACTATGCCTCGTGCGATCACGTCTAAAATTTGTGGACTCCTTCATTAGCCCCTGAGCAACAGTTTAGGGTCAAGTTTTAGGTCAATGTTAGAACAGAGGCCATGCAGCATGTCTGTGTATGATGGTCCCACCGGTAGGTCCTACCGGTGGGACCGAGGTCTATGCAAGCTATCATTAAATCTTTACCGGCTTTTTTTGGTGGTGTCGATTGTTGGTTCATTTTCGGCAGCTGAAAGTGTCTCATGAACTCTCTGCAGCAACATCAGATCAGAAACATGAACAATTCCGATTTGAGATGCTGCAGTTAGACTTGTGAACGACAAAGATCAATGTCAACTAATGCACATCGTCATTGTGGGGCACGGAACAAGATCAGGGTCAAGCAAAGTACGTGATCAGGGTCGGGAAAAGCACAAGATCAGGGCCGAGCAAGGCACAAGATCAGGGTCGAGCACGGCACAAGATCAGGGTCGAGCACGGCACAAGATCAGGGTCGAGCACGGTACAAGATCAGGGTCGGGAAAGGCACAATATCAGGGTTGGGCAAGGCACAAGATCAGGGTCGGGCAAGGCACAAGATCAGGGTCGAGCAAGGCACAAGATCAAGGTCGAGCAAGGCACAAAATCAGGGTCGAGCAAGGCACAAGATCAGGGTCGAGCAAGGCACAAGATCAGGTCCAGCACAACACAAGATCAGGGTCCAGCCCAACACAAGATCAGGGTCGACCACGGCACAAGATCAGGGTCGAGCACGGCACAAGATCAGGGTCGAGTACGGCACAAGATCAGGGTCGAGCAAGGCACAAGATCAAAGTCGAACACGGCACAAGATCAGGGCCGAATACGGCACAACATCAGAGTCGAGCACAGCACAAGATCAGGGCCGGGCAAGGAACAAGATCAGGGTCGAGCATGTCACAAGATCAGGCTCGAGCACGGCACAAGATCAGGGTCGAGCACGGCACAAGATCAGGGTCGAGAAAAACACAAGATAAGGGTCGAGCACAGCACAAGATCAGGGTCGAGCACAGCACAAGATCAGGATTGAGCACAGCACAAGACCAGGGTCGAGCAAGGCACAAGATCAGGGTCAAGTACGGCACAGAATCAGGCTCGAGCACGGTACAAGATAAGGGTCGAGCACGGCACAAGATCAGGGTCGAGCACGGCACAAGATCAGGGTCGAGTACGGCACAAGATCAGGGTCGAGCACGGCACAAGATCAGGGTCGAGCACGGCACAAGATCAGGGTCGAGCACGGCACAAGATCAGGGTCGAGCACGGCACAAGATCAGGGTCGAGCACGGTACAAGATCAGGGTCGACCACGGTACAAGATCAGGGTCGAGCACGGCACAAGATCAGGGTCGAGCTCGGCACAAGATCAGGATCGAGCACGGCACAAGATCAGGGTCGAGTACGGCACAAGATCAGGGTCGAGCACGGCACGAGATCAGGGTCGAGCAAGGCACAAGATCAGGATCGAGTACGGCACAGAATTAGGCTCGAGCACGGTACAAGATCAGGGTACAACACGGCACAAGATCAGGGTCGAGCACGGCACAAGACCAGGGTCGAGTACGGCACAAGATCAGGGTCGAGCACGGCACAAGATCAGGGTTGAGCACGAACAAGATCAGGGTCCAGCACAACACAAAATCCGGGTCGAGCATGGCACAAGATCAGGGTTGAACACGGCACAAAATCAGTGCCAAGCAAGGCACAAGATCAGGGTCGAGCAAGGCACAAGATCAGGGTCGAGCAAAGTACGTGATCAGGGTCGGGAAAAGCACAAGATCAGGGCCGAGCAAGGCACAAGATCAGGGTCGAGCACGGTACAAGATCAGGGTCATGCAAGGCACAAGATCAGGGTCGAAAACGGCACAAGATCAGGGTCGAGCATGGCACAAGATCAGGGTCGAGCACGGCACAAGATCAGGATCGAGCTCGGCACAAGATCAGGATCGAGCACAGCAAAAGACAGGGTCGAGCACAGCACAAGATCAGGGTCGAGGATGGCACAAGATCAGGGTCGAGCACGGCACAGGATCAGGGTCGAACACGGCACAAGATCAGGGTCGAGCATGGCACAAGATCAGGGTCGAGCACAACAAAAGATCAGGGTCGAGCATGCCGCAACATCACGGTCGAGCAAGGCACAACATCAGGGTCGAGCAAGGCACAAGATCAGCATACGGTCAAGGTCGAGCAAGGCACAAGATCAGGGTCGGGCAAGGCACAAGATCAGGGTCGAGCGCGGCACAAGATCAGGGTCAAGCACGGCACAAGGTCAGGGTCAAGCACGGCACAAGATCAGGGTCGAGAACAGCACAAGATAAGGGTCGAGCACGGCACAAGATTGGAGTCGAACACGGCACAAGACAAGGATCGAACACGGCACAACATCAGGATCGAGCACGGCACAACATCAGGGTCGAGCACGGCACAAGATCAGGGTCGGGCACGGCACAAGATCAGGGTCGGGCACGGCACAAGATCAGGGTCGAGCACGGCACAAGATCAAGGTCGGGCAAGGCAGAAGATCGGAGTCGAGCACGGCAGAAGATCGGGGTCGAGCACGGCAGAAGATCGGGGTCGAGCACGGCACAAGATCGGGGTCGAGCACGGCACAAGATCGGGGTCGAGCACGGCACAAGATCGGGGTCGAGCACGGCACAAGATCGGGGTCGAGCAAGGCACAAGATCAGGGTCGAGCAAGGCACAAGATCAGGGTCGAGCAAGGCACAAGATCAGGGTCGAGCAAGGCACAAGATCAGGGTCGAGCAAGGCACAAGATCAGGGTCGGGCACGGTACAAGATCAGGGTCGAGCCCGGCACAAGATCAGGGTCGAACACGGCACAAGATCAGGGTCGAGCACGGCACAAGATCAGGGTCGTGCAAGGCAC